AACTTATGTAATTCTGTGTAAGGATTCATAAATACTTTCTTCGAGGGTAGCAACGGAGTTAAATATTCTTCATTGTGGGATCAAAAATTAAGTTACAACGAGCAACATAACATTAATAAAAATAATTCAATATATAACTAAACGTTGCCTATGGGAATATCGAGGTTCAGCATTCCGACGATACAAGTTTTTTTTTCCCGTTTTCTTGTGCTCAAAACTAAAGATTTCAATACCATGATAAATGAAATTGTTAAATTTTCAAACAATTTGTATTCATGAGTGAAAAATCATATTAAAACTTGTAGTAGGAACCAACTTCTTTAGAAGTACATAAATCATTCGTAAAAAAATGAAGTCTGAATTCCACATAGGGAAAAAGTGAAAAACTAAATAAAAATTTAATAAACAAAAATGAAAAAAAAATTCGAAAAATTTCTCTAGGGTAAGCTAACCATATGACCTCGGCTAGATCCGTCCATGTCCAAGGGTATAGCACAGTGGTTGGGTTGGATAGTAATGAACTTGAACTGTGTAAAATAATTTAAGTTGATTTGCTTGTGCTTGTTTGGTAGGGATTTTGTTAATTAATTTTTTGACTGTTAGAGGTAAAGTGGTTCCTGTCTGTGAGTGAAAAATTAAAAAAATGACGGCTGTAATAGTGAAATAACGGTAAAAAAATTGATTTTAATTGGGTTTTAAGCTATACCAAGTTTGGTAGGGATTTTGTTTATTGATTTTTTTACCGTAAGCGCGATAAAGTGGGTCCTACATGTGAGAGAAAAATTCAAAAATGATGGCCGAAATAGTGAAATAACGATAAAAAAATTTGATGTTAATTGAATTAAAATCTCTACCAAATATGCTCTAAATATACTTTTATCCACATATTCAGCAAAATCAATAATTTATTCTCCATATTTAGAAACACTTGAATGCACAATCAAACAAGCACATAGTACAAGCAGTTAAAGTGGTGGTGGGCAACCATGGGCAGCTGTAACCGCTGCTATTGGTCCTCGACAGTTGCAAACGACTTCTGTTGGCAATTGATGGCTTCATATAAAAGCGACGTTGACAGCTACAGTGGTGAAATGCTCGTCGGTAGTTGTAAGCAGCGACCATTAATAACAATAACGATGGTTGAAGTCGAAATGAAATTAATTTTCCAGTGATTTTGAAATAGACTTTGTTATTTGTACATTCGAGATTGACACCCCGGATGACACTCTCCTCACAAGAGAGGGGCTCACAATATTTTATTATATGTGGACCCCCTTCTCTTGTGAGGGGAATGTCATCCGGAGTGTTAATCACAAATGTACAAATAACTTTATTGTTTTGAAATGGTTTATTGAAGCCTTACGTGGTCCTGTAACATGGAGGGACCAATTCTAAGGACACGTACAAATTACAGAGTGGGCTGGTTCAGTCATTAAACCTAATTTTAAGTTCCCAGGGAGTGGGACAAACAAAGTTCACAGGACCATTGGCTTTTTTTGGATTAAAATCTCGAGTCAAGGTCGACATTTAGTTTTAACCACATTTTATGGGATCCACAGCTTTTCAATTACATATTTCATTAGCTTTTATCAATAGCTTTTATCAATATATACTAAAAATCAAATTTTAATCTTCACCAAATGGAAAAGTAACATTTTCGACCTTGTTTGAGCCCCATTTTTTCAAAAAAAAATGAATTTTTAAATAGTGTATTGATGAGAAATGCGTGGTTAAAAAATACTAAGAAAAATTTTAGATTTATGTGTAATATTATTTTATTGAAAAATGTGTAGTTGAAATAAGGTCAAAACACTGTTCAAGAATTCAATTTTATTTTATTTATTTATTTATTTTTGAAAAAATGGGGCTCAAACAAAGATGGTATATAAACATATTTAGATATTTTATTGAAGTGAGAGATTATTTTTTCTAAAAGTGACTTTTACTCGAGGTTGTCAATGGGCCCGACACGGCCCATGAAAGCACGAGCTTGGCTCGGGCTCGCCACGAGCTGAGCTCGTGCTTGTTTTTAAACGAGCCGAGCCCAGCTCGTCCAAAAAAGGGCGAGCTCGTGGGCCCAGCCTAGCCTGGCTCGCGAGCAGACGTCATCTTTATTTTATTTTTTTGGGGAAACAAATAGGTAAATAATAAATTAGAAAATAAAGAAGTAATTTTAATTTTTGAATCGTGAATTTTTTATATAAAAAATTAGGTAAAAAATTTAAACCCTCCTCCTTTATCCGGGTTTGGGACCGGCTACTTAAATTTAGAGTAGACGGAGTTAAAAATTGCGTTGTTTGTTTGTTTGTTCGTATACAATTTTTTAAAGAAAATTTAAAACAGTATTAAAAATCATTTTTTCAAGCAACGCTGCGCGTCCCCTTACATATATTTCGAAATAAATCCCTTCTAAAAATTGAAAGGGCAATCATTTGATTACCCTTTCAATTTTCAGAAAGAGTTTACTTCGAAAATTATATGCAAAGGTATGCACAGCGTTGTTCGAGAAAAGAATTTAAAATGTAGACATATAGTAGTAATAGTAACAAGTACTAACAAAAATTTAACTAAATTGGTGGAAAGATTTTTTTTTCTTTTTTTCTTTTAACTAAAAGAGAGAAAAAAAATAAAAATGAAATCTTATTTTTTTCTTTTTAAAATAGATAAAATATAAACCCTTCTCCCTTATCCGGATTTGGGACCGGCTACTTAAATTTTCAGTAGGTGGAGTTAAAAATTTTACACGAACAAATTTTTGTAGCGTGTACAATTTTTTTAAAAAAAAAATTAAAAGTGAGGATAAGAAAAGAAATGTTCCATCAATATAATTAAATCAAATATCATTTACTTAACGACATGCAATTTCGACATATTTATCTTGTAGTCGAAAATGAGCGTCCTATCAATCCTTAACGCACATTAACGCTTCTAAAATATCTTATTTCAGTCGGCTCATGACCTCGTTCAAAACTCTTTTACTTGCACTAAAGCAGACTCCGAAGCAAATGTGATGGTGTATCAAATGTTAAGGCGTTTGAAATTTGATCAATTATATATTTAGTTCCCGATAAATTATATCGGGGGTCCATCATGCATGCTAAAAGAAATAATATAGGCAAGTCTTCCCAATATTTTCTAAATTTTAATTTCATAGCAATTATAATTTCACTAAAATTAGGGTCATTTTTGTATTTATGAAATGTTCTTGCAATTATATAAAGACTCAAACACCATATAACTGGTGGGATAGTAAACGCCTGATAAAATCTTAGTGATTTCATAAAAAGATGTCAAAAATCTTTTAATTTTCAAAGCTATTTGCCAACAGTCAACATACCCTGTCATCACTTCTAACATGTGTATTGTCATAAAAGTCAGTTATTAAATGTTCAAAAACTTCAAATGACTTTAATAACAAGTAAGTAGAGTTCCACCTATGACTTACGTTGCTAAAAAATATTTTAGCATTTTGCACTCCTATTTCGGCACAATAATCCTCAAATGCTTGTTTTCTACTTGGGAAGATTGTGATATATATTAGTACGTTCCTAATATTTTGAAATTCATCCTTTATATGCTTTAAACCATCTTGGACAGTTAAATTCAAAATGACATAGACAACGAATATGAAACAAATACCCACCAAAATCAGGTTGCAGTAATCTATGCAATTTATCGGCAACTACTTTATTAACACGAGCATTATCGAAAGTAAATAAACGAATTTTACTTTCGCAATGATATTCTCTAACAATACTAATAATAGCATTAGATATATTATTAGCGTTGCGAGGAAACTCAATAATTCTAAAAGCAATAATTTTTTTATGTATGCACCAAAGTGGGTCTATATAATGTG